TCAAAACATCAGAGCCCGAGACTGTTCAACACGATTCCACTACACATAAGGGCATAACTAGCCGGCCCCCTCACAGTGTTCAAGAGAAAACTGGATAAGCACCTCCAAAGGATACCTGATCAACCAGGCTGTGACGTCAGGCTGAGAGCAGCCGCGTCCAACAGCCTGTTTGTCCAGCAATGAGGAGGCCTGGTCGAGGACCGGGTCGCGGCCTTGTGGTGGAGATAGAGGAGGGGCGACTAAGCAGAGGAGTGTGTTAGAGGGAGACTTGCCGCACTGTAGGGCAGCATCTTGTGTTTATGGCGTCAGCTGATCCTTGCTTCAAGTTCAAGTATGTTTATTGAGACAAGAAAAATATTGAGACTATTTGATATTTGTCATGTAAGGAGAGGTCATCTCCTCATAATATATGCTCGATGGTAAAGGGTATGTTAAGTGCGATAAATACTTGTTTGAGGTTTACTCTGGCACTAATGTTGAGAGATGACGGAAGCAGTGAAGGAGATAGTGTTCTATTGTCTCAGGCACCTGACAGTGGAGAGAGAGTTGATGTCTCTTCTGTACTTAAGAGCTGTGTGCTGCCAGTTTGGTGAGTCCCAGCCTTAATCTGGTCATCTTTAGTCTCTGCTTTTATACCTTAAATGTTTCCATGTTTCCCATCTTTCTTTTTTTTATGGAGCCATAGCAGAGATGAGTGTGACGCCCTCCGTACTGTAACACAATCTTGGCTGAACTCCAGCCTTTACTACTCAGCCCAGTCCGCCCTCTTCCATCTATGTCAAATTTCCAGTGCCAAAGGTCCCTCCTCGTCGCCCTTCATCTTGCATCCTCCCTCTTACTTCTTTCTCGCCCAGTTTCTCCCTCTCTACCCCCCCCCCCCCCCCCCCCCCCGCCCGACAGAGGCCTCCTCGCATAACGCAATCTAAAAGTCCAGATTCGATTTGTGGGTGACGAAAATATTCTAAAATTTGAATAATCCAACGAAAGCACACAAGGGAATTCGAACCCAGGGGCCAAGGGCCGATCGACAGGATTCCAACCCAAAACCCCAGAAGCGGCCGAGGATTGTAACCCAGGACTCCGGGTTACAATCCAACAAATCAATTCTACAACAGATTTGGGTGGGGTCTCTTCTGTACTCATTTGAATTCTTGGACAAACATCTACTTCGAGAGAGAGAGGAAGAGAGAGAAAGTGAAAGGAAAATAGAGGAAAAGAGCGAGATAGAGAGAGCACGGAAGAGAGCGTAAAACAGAGACAGTGGAAGTGAGCGTGAAAGAGCAATCGAGAACAAAAGACAGCAAAAGATAAATAGCAAAAGAGCGAAATAGAGCAAAACAGAACGCGAGAGTAAAAGAGAGCGCGCGAAAGGGAGAAGGGAGGAGTTAATTCACACACCTTATTAATGAAAATGAATGATATACAATCACATAAAAAAGGAGAGTTCCCCACAGATCCACAACCCCCATCCCATCTCTTCCCCCACCTCACCCCTCCCCCAACCCTTCCCTACCCTCCCCCCCTTGGCTGTGCAACAACAGCTGGCCATGTAATAACATTGGTAATCCCACCCCGCCCCCCCCCTCCCATCCCCTCCCATCTTGTCGCTTTCTCGCGGGAGGTCAGTCTCATGTCAACACTTTGTCCGCATGCGTGCCACACCTTCCCCGGCACCGCCTTCGGAAACACCGTCTCCAGGACACTCGCTGGAACGCAGTGCCTTAATTTGAGCTAGGAATGAGAGGTAGAGAGGGTTGAGTAGGGGGGAAATGTGGAGAGAGATGAGCTGGAGGGAATGGACGGTGAAGAGAGTAGAGGGTAGATTATGGGGGATTGAGTGTGACGAGAGGCATACATATGGTTGAGTATGGTGAGGCGGGCAGGGCTGAAAACACCCAAGTTGGATCAGTCGAGTTGAAGGATTGTGTTGCGGATATTTGAGTGAGTGTTGATTGTAATAGGTGAGGATTGGAGAGAGGAGCAAGTTAAGATGGTGGGCCAGAAGGGGTTGTATTCACCTAGTTGTGCTTGCGGGGGTTGAGCTCTGCTTTTTCGGCCCGCCTCTCAACTGTCAATCAACTGTTTACTAACTATTGTTCTACCAGCCGCCTGATCTACTAACTATTGTGCGGCCTTGGTGTCCGCACAGCCTCTCAGATTGTTCTACCAGCCTTCCTTTCCTCCTCCCATGCATCGCACGACCTCGTAAGAGATATCCTACCTGAACTCCTGAGTGATTCAGTAGGAATACACGATCCTGCTTTCACTGAATGTTCAAATCAGTGGGATGCTCTTGCAGCCCCACCACCCATCATAGAACCATAAAAAAAAACACAAATAGTCCGGCTGGGACCACTCGTTAGTAGAAAAAAAGAGCTGATGCCATGTTCAGCGCCGCAACATCAGACAAGGAGAAAGCCCGCCTCAGAGCAGTGCGTGCCCCCCATGCAGCAGACTTCCTCCTGGCAGTACCCATGTCGGCAATGGGCACGCGCCTAGATCCAGAATCCCTTCGTGTAGCAGTGGCCCTCCGCCTTGGTGCCCCAATTCACACTGAATACAAGTGTGTTTGCAACAGGGTGGAAGCAGACCAATACGAACTGCATTGCGGAAGCGGAGGAGCTTCTTGTCCGGAAGCGGAGGAGCTTCAAGAGATCCACAACCTTTGAGCACTCTGCATCAACCAATGTACATCTTGTAACCTTTAAATACATATACATACATATATATATATATATATATATATATATATATATATATATATATATATATATATATATATATATATATATATATATATATATATATAAAGCAACAGCCTGGTGGACCAAACTCTCAAGTCAAGCCTGGCCTCGGGCCGGGCTTGGGGAGTAGAACAACTCCCAGAACCCCATCAACCAGGAGTATTGGTGCCATGGTCACAAGTAACCGACATTGTATAAACATCAGAGGTTCACAGCTGTTCAATATCCTCTCAGCAAGTATAATTAATATTGCCAGAACAAAAGCGGACTTCAACAACATATTAGAGAAGGTCTTGCCACAAGTGCGGGGCTGAAGTGGAGAGTTACCACTGTGAATATTGTCCCCGGGGCCCCAGTGGAGGGCTGACTCTGGGGACCAATTGTTTCCGCTATTACCGGGGATCGATCTCCGGGCCATAGGATTACGGGTCCTAAGCGCTGTCCACTCAGCCACCAGGGAGTGAGTGAGTGAGTGAGTGAGTGTGTGTGTGTGTGTGTGTGTGTGTGTGTGAGTTTGTGTGTGTGTGTGTGTGTGTGTGTGTGGGAGAGGGTCAGGGAGAGAGGGAGAGGGTCAGGGAGAGAGGAAGAGGGTCAGGGAGTGTGTGTGTAATTGATTTATTCCGTACAAGGAGGATTGGGAAGAAGGAGAGATGTTTGTAAACAATTAGAGTGGTTGCTTGCCTTGGGATGACCTGGGTAGAGAGGTAAACACGCCGCCCGTCCCCCTCTGACCTCAACACACACACACACTGGCCACGGTGTAAACAACGACCTTCTCATCTACAAGGTAACGTCTTTCATGTAATTTACTGTGTGTCTTATCTCCCAGAGCTTCGATGCCCTCCGTCTCAGACTGGTTTATATGGAACAATGTCCTTATAAGTAAACACCTCTCACTCATACACCGGGCGACCAGCCACACACACACACAGGGCGACCAGCCCCACACACTGGGCGACCAGCCCCACACACTGGGCGACCAGCCCCACACACTGGGCGACCAGCCCCACACACTGGGCGACCAGCCCCACACACTGGGCGACCAGCCCCACATACTGGGCGACCAGCTATAGGAAGATGAAGGTGTGTTTATAAAGCAGAGCCAGACCCGGGGCTCTGTAGAGTTGACTCAGCGAGTGAGTCAGCTGTGTGACGCGAGGTATTGCTGACACGCGCGGGTTGGTTGACGAGGGGTTGGGGGTTGATGGGTGGGGGTGGGAGGTTGATGGGTGTGGGGTGGGTGAGTTGAGGGTGATTTGTAAATGTCTTTTTAATTTTGCGTGTGCACGTTCAGGAGGCCGCCTCATTTCATGCAGCTGTTCGTGCCTACTGGATCAAGCTCTAAGTCTTGGACCCGCCTTCCCAACAGCCGGTGGTCTAATCCGAAAACTCCCGATCGATTTACTGTGTTATTTCCGCTTTTTGAAAGTATGAAGTTTGCGTCTGTAACCTGCTTGTTGAGTCCCCTTCTCTCTTCCCCGCCTTCTCCTGAGTTCCCCGCCTTCTCCTGAGTTCCCCGCCATCGCCGTCTCTGCTTCAGATTATCCTCGACCCCTCGCTAACTACCCCCCCCCTCCCCCCCCCCCCCGGGCAACCCCGGCTGTTTTAGGGCAAAAGGATTTTTGTGACTTTTCGGCCCATTATTCCAACCTGTCGTACAAAGGACGTCGCTTTTCGCTCGTATGCGTTACCTAAAGCCAAAAATTGTCGTACAAGCGGCTGGCGAAAGTGACGTACTGTTCCGTTTTCTGTTTTGGGTCCTGTAGGAGGTGAGAGACCGTTGACGTTCTGAGACCTTAGGAGGACGGACTGACTATTCATCAAGAGCGCAGGAAGGAAGTCCTTAGGTGTTACCAAGACCGAGGAAACGGCTGGAAGAAGCTGGGTAACTGAAGTGTTTTACTTAGGACCAGACAGTGCAAGCCGGGATATTTGCAGACATTTGGAGAGGACTGGACAGAGAGAATGGGGGAGACAGTCACAGGAACTGGGATACAGCGATAGAAAATCTGGAGCACTTACTAAAAAAGGAAAATACAAAATAAACACTTAGAAAAAGGCAACACACACATTACTTACCTCTCAGATACAAGAATACTGGGAGAAGCAGGGAGAGAGGGAGAGGGAGAGGGTCAGGGAGAGAGGGAGAGGGGTCAGGGAGAGAGGGAGAGGGGTCAGGGAGAGAGGGAGAGGGGTCAGAAAGAGAGGGAGAGGGATCAGGGAGTGAGGGAGATTGAGAGACTCCGGGTTACTTACAGAGATCTTGCTGGCGTCGCGGGTGGAGATGCCCTGAGGCTTGCCGTGTCGCTGGATCTGCACCGGGTAGGTGATCTGGTAGAACTGCGACTCCAACGAGGCCACGAACTTCTGGTTCTCGGTGTGCTCGTTCAGGAGGCGCCGGACCTCTCCTGCGGGAGACACGGACCACAATGAGAGGAAGGCGCCACCAACGCTGTCTTAGCGAACCCACACGCACACATTTTAATTTATTATATACTCAAAATAGAACACGGAACAACACATGAAGGAAGAATAATGTGTTTATCTAAAAGGCAGAAAGTAACGGCATCAACTGAACCCTGAAGCAGGAATATAAATGGTTTACACATAGCAAATACATCGTGGATCAAAGTCAAACTATTTATTAAAGAAAGACTTAATACAAAATGATAAAAACAATATTGCAGACGTAAAATGCGACACATTAACTGTAATGAAGACCAAAGAAAATGGGAACGGGACTATGCACTTAAAAATATATACAATGTCAAAATAAATCAAGCCAGCCTCCTGAAATGATAGTAATCTTTGTATATATGTTTCCTTCCTACCATTATGTAGTAACAGGGCCCCAGTAAGCCACTTTTTGTGGCTTACCTAACGTCTCGTAACTAAGATGTTCCTGTTGGTCAGCCAGATGGATTCACCTTGGTTTAAAACTTAAACCTTAAAATTTTTAACTTAATGAAATATTGTAGAAAAATCCAGTGGTAGAAAACGGGAGGCGAGCTATTTATCAGGAGAAAGAACTTAGACTGTATAGGACATGTAAGGAGTACCCAGACGAGGTCGGAGCTGAGATATGGTGACCCGGCGGCCGAACATTTGTAAGTCAAGCGCCTTATAAGGGGTAACCTCCCGGCCGTGGCCACCACACTATAATGGCCGAGAAGCGTGCTGGCGGGATTACCACTTGTGAATGCTGCCTTAGCTGGGATTTGCCAGCCCGAGTGAAATTGATGGTCGAGGCCAAGTAGACTAACGCAGGAGGATGGATGGTCTGACGGGTGACATGATGAATGGATGGACGCTCACCACGACAATGGCATGCAGGAAGGGAGGAGATGAAGACGGGAAAGGAGTAGACGGAGGAGAGGATGAGAGAGGAAGGGGGAGAAGAGAGGGAGGGGGAGAAGAGAGGGAGGGGAAGAAGAGAGGAAGGGGGAGAAGAGTGGAAGGGGGAGAAGAGTGGGAGGGGAGAAGAGAGGGAAGGGGAGAAGAGAGGGAGAGTAAGGAAATATAAGGTGAGGGGAAGAGAGATAAGGAAAGACTAGGAGAGAACGGGAGGAATGGGAGGTAGGGAAATATAGTGTAAAAGAGGTTCAAGAGCTGGTTTGTGAGATTAGTGAGGAAAATGAAGACCGACTGATAGACGTGAAGGATAAAGGGAAGAGGATTAGGTGAGAGACTGTAAGAGCAGAGACTAAAAAGGTAGAATGTCTGGATGAGACAATATAAACAGAGATATAGAAATGTGGGCAAAGTGCGTGTGCCACTTGTGTTAAACAGCCTGTCTTTATCTACCCTGTCGATTCCCTTGAGAATCTTGAATGTGGTGATCATGTCCCCCCTAACTCTTCTGTCTTCCAACGAAGTGAGGTTGAATTCCCATAGTCTCTCCTCGTAGCTCATACCTCTCAGCTCGGGTACTAGTCTGGTGGTGTGGTGGCAAACCTTTGAACTTTTTCCAGTTTGGTCTTATGCTTGACTAGATATGGACTCCATGCTAGAGCCGCATACTCCAGGATTGGTCTGACATATGTGGTATATAATGTTCTGAAAGATTCCTTACACAAGTTTCTAAAGGCCGTTCTTATGTTAGCCAACCTGGCATATGCTGCTGATGTTATCCTCTTGATATGAGCTTCAGGGGACAGGTCTGGCGTGATGTCAACCCCCAGGTCTTTCTCTCTCTGACTCTTGAAGTATTTCATCTCCGAAATGATACATTGTATCTGGTCTCCTCCTTCCTTCCCCTATCTTCATTACATTACATTTGCTTGGGTTAAGCAAATGTAACGCACTCACACACATTACATTTGTGTGTGAGTGCGCGCGCGTGCGTGCGTGTCGTGTCTCAGTGGCTGTAGTATTAAATAGTTTTGAAACCCACTGACTCCTGTTGGAGACTATTCTCATCTCCTGCCCCATATATACCAGGCACTTCCTATTGCCCTTTATTCGCAGTAAACGTTTGGTAAAACAAATCTTCCACTTGGGATACAAAATGTAGATATCCATTAGTGTGTCACGACGGACAATCATTTTGGACCAACGTTTGCAAATTTTTGAAAGTGGGAAAACAGAGAACAGAATAATATCCTAAATTTGAAAATCATTTTGAGGCAACGGAGGGACTTGAACTCGCAACCTGATGATTCCCAGACGCCTGCCTTGAAACCGACTCGGCCACGATGGTACAAAAGTTGACCCTTCAGAGCAGGAGAGATTGCTGAAATCGAGGGAATACAGAGAACATATACGGCACGCATAGACGCGATAAAGCACTTAAATTATTGGGATCGTCTCATCAAAGCCCTCCAAATGTACTCACTAGAAAGGAGACGAGAGAGATACCAAATAATATACACGTGGAAGATATTGGAGGGCCAGGTACTAAATGTACACAGTAAAATAACAACATACTGGAGTGAACGATATGGAAGAAAATGCATATAGAACCAGTGAAGAACAGAGGTGCCATGGGCACAATCAGAGAACACTGTATAAACATCAGAGGTTCGACCAGGCCTCCTTTTTGTTAAACCCCCCCCCCCTTCCCGGGAAGCAGCCCGTAGCAGCTGTCTAACTTCTATGTACCTATTTACTGCTAGGTAACAGGGAAATCAGGGTGAAACGAACATTTTCCCATTTGTCTCCGCCTCCACCCTTGATCGAACCCGGTACCTCAGGACTAGGAATCCGAAGCGCTGTCCACCCAGCTATAAACACTACGGCGCTGTCAGGCGCCATAGTGGCCTAGTGGACCAAACTCTCACAAGTCAAGCCTAGCCTCGGGCTGGGCTTGGGGAGTAGAAGAACTCCCAGAACCCCATCAACCAGGTATCAACCAATGCAGTGAGGCTTGCATAACTCTTGGCTTCCATTACCCTACTCAACTAGGCTTCTGCCTCAATGTTCAGTGTCCAGACATAACGTGTGTGTTCATAGCCTATTTATTTAGTGCTAATAGAAATGACTCATCTTGGATTCTACACTATCAAGACATTTACAAAATGAATCAGATACTGCACATGTAAGTAACGAATTCTCAAACATTACCATGGGTAAAGAAGTGTAACTTTTCAGTTTTATGGCTTTTAAAATATTACATGTGTGTTCCAATAACCTTGATATGAAGGTGTAGGGATGTTGACTTACACAACAGTCTCGTCCACACTCAAGTGTTCAACTTGAGTCCTTCTTGTCACTATATACAAATATGTAATTTAGTTGGGAATTAGTTTAGGGATTCCCTTTTTATTCTTGTTCCTATGTTTACAATGTTTCTTTGTATAACTGAAGTTAATTATTACTGGGTCTATCTGTCTCTGTCCTCCCCCGTCCCCCCCCCCCGCCTGCCTCTGCCTCCCCCTCTCCCCCTCTCTCTCTCCCCTCCCCTCTCTCCCTCTCTTCCTCTCTCCCTCTCTCCCTCTCTTCCTCTCTCCCTCTCTTCCTGTCTCCCTCTCTCCCCTCTCCCTCCCTCCCTCTGACAGACGTGTGGTGGAGGCCGGGTGTCAGGGCGGCGGCTCCCACCCCCACAACTGTAGCTGCTGTGGATGTTCTCATGAACAAACATTTGTCAATTACGTCCAAAGTATCATCGATAATTTTTGACAATTTTGCATCAATTAGTGTGTAGTGTTTTACTACATGGCGAGACAAAATAATTGTTGAAATATTCTTATAACGTTCTAAAGGTTCAGCCGAGGATAGAATCCCAAGGAGGTTGACAGAGTGGTATTATCATGCCAGTTGATTAGTGGTGGTCCCACCCCAGCCACTTTGGTCACGTATCCCACAGCAACCACTTTGGGTGACGCTCGCCCCCAAGAGTGTGGCATCCAAGCTCCAGCTGACATTCTAATTTATAGATATAGATCCATTGCTTGTTTAGATATTTAAATATTTTCCCTGTTAAATGTTTGGTTGTTAAGACACGTTTCTCATTCATCTTCTGACCCGTGACTTGCTGTTGTTGCGTCAGTAGCGGCTATGGTTCTGTGGGAACCTCTGCGGCTCTCTGACGGCGTCTAGGGGTACCCGGGGCACCTCGGCCAGGGTAATGAGGGAGATCATGTGTAGTGAAGTGGTATAGTGCATGACACTGTGTTGGTGCTCAGGATGTCCCGCAGGTGGTGTCCCCGTGTTGGTGAAGATGTCCCGCAGGTGGTGACCCCGTGTTGGTGAAGATGTCCCGCAGGTGGTGACCCCGTGTTGGTGAAGATGTCCGCAGGTGGTGACCCCGTGTTGGTGAAGATGTCCCGCAGGTGGTGACCCCGTGTTGGTGAAGATGTCCCGCAGGTGGTGACCCCGTGTTGGTGAAGATGTCCGCAGGTGGTGACCCCCGTGTTGGTGCTCAGGATGTCCGCAGGTGGCGACCCCGTGTTGGTGAAGATGTCCCGCAGGTGGTGACCCCGTGTTGGTGAAGATGTCCCGCAGGTGGTGACCCCGTGTTGGTGAAGATGTCCGCAGGTGGTGACCCCGTGTTTAGTGAAGATGTCCGCAGGTGGTGACCCCGTGTTGGTGAAGATGTCCGCAGGTGGCGACCCCGTGTTGGTGAAGCTGTCCCGCAGGTGGTGACCCCGTGTTGGTGAAGATGTCCGCAGGTGGCGACCCCGTGTTGGTGAAGATGTCCCGCAGGTGGTGACCCCGTGTTGGTGAAGATGTCCCGCAGGTGGCGACCCCGTGTTGGTGAAGATGTCCCGCAGGTGGTGACCCCGTGTTGGTGAAGATGTCCCGCAGGTGGTGACCCCGTGTTGGTGAAGATGTCCCGCAGGTGGTGACCCCGTGTTGGTGAAGATGTCCCGCAGGTGGTGACCCCGTGTTGGTGAAGATGTCCGCAGGTGGTGACCCCGTGTTGGTGAAGATGTCCGCAGGTGGTGACCCCCGTGTTTAGTGAAGATGT